TAATTGAATCGCAACAAATTAATCTATGACGTTATAAAATTCATTATTTTTTCGACTCTATCAATCATTACTAAATAAAAAGAATTTTTATATGAGATTAATTATTTCAATTTCTTATTTTGTTAAACAGTATTGTTTGCATGCGGAATAAAATAGTCCGTGTGTAGAATGAAAACAAGATTATTCAGATATTATTTGATCTTACAAGATTGAGATTAACTGATGAAGGACGAGTTTATCATTTCGATTTATAGTCATTTCCTATTAAAATTAACTTTTAATAAAAAGGTTTTAAATGATCATCGAGATATTTATTAATCAAATAAGAAAATACAATTTCAACATCTGGATTAAGTTTGTCGGAATTAAGAAAACAAATCAATAATCAAAACGAAACAATAAGTTACTACAACATATCAATAAATAACATTATGAAAACTCGAAAATTATTTATACTAATAAAAAAAAGAAATAGAATATAGAAATTATTTGTAATGTTCAAATACACCTATACCCGTCGTCTCTTGCTACGTCGACTAGTTGTAGTTGTTGCAGCAGGTGCACGTCTTTTCTGTAATGACGTTTTGTTATGATTTCGTTCGATTGATGGTGATTGTGTTGCAGCATCAGAATTATTAGAATTTGTGTTGTTGTCGTTATTGTCGTCGTTTTGTTCATCGACGTTTTCTCGATCATGTGCATCATCTACCTTCTCCAGCATCATTGTGCAAGTGCCACGTTCAATATGACGATAATAGTTCGACATCTAAACGAGAGAAAATTATATACATATATGTATAATATATTCAGTACTTAAATCTTTCAACTCCTCTTAATAAACTATCTTTTTGATTACATATTATTTGAATGTTAGCGGATGTTCAACAATTATATAAGCTGGTTTTCGAATATATATACTAACCTGATAATATCCTGTATTATTAGAACGAATTAATGCTGCTCTCGAACCACATCCACATATAATTGCTGCAGATTCATTCTCTTTGTTTATGTTTTTGAATTGTATTTGGTAATGTGTATTTTCTTCGAGAGTAGCATCATTCTCCAAATGAAATTCATCTCGACGACTAGTAAACCAGTTATTAATTGTTGTTATTATATGGTTTCGCTGTTCATCAGTTGAAATCGCACGATTAACAGCTGGTGCGTTGATTGATGTAGAAGGATCGGTAATAATATATTTATTTCTTTTGTTGTCTTCTTCGATTTTTTTAATAAGACGCTTCTTTAAAGTTTTAAATGAAGCTACAATACCGGCTAGAACTATACAGGCTCCACCATTTGTAATTACACAAGCTTTGTGTTTAAGATCAATCAGTTTTTCGCCGTTATGTTGTAAAATTTCTGTTGGATCATTACATTCTAAGAAGGTGGTGGCATCGCTTATTAGCTGAACTTTAAGAATGTTTGCTTGAACAATTCCTGATTGATGTTCAACGAAATTATAAAAATCGTCATGTTGTAGATCAAATACGTTTATTGGAAGTGTTTTCGTGTTGATATGAGTGGTTGCGGTCATGATGAACGACGTAATATTTGAATAGAATCGATCAGGCAAATAAAAGACGTGGCGAAATAGAATAACGATAAGATGGAAATGAACACGCGATAACGAACCGAGAAAAAGAAAATATCTTTCCCGTCTATCTTTCCGTCTTAATAATATTAACAAATCTAGCAAAATTCTTTGCGTTCTGTCTTATTTAATTTTAAATAGATGGACCAAAAGAAAATATATATGAGAATATTGTACGACTATAGAAGGCACATGTTTATCATAAAATCAAACCGAAAAATTGTTTTTTTGCTCTACAATATCACATGAGTGTCCAATAACATGTATAAGCGTGATGTGCTTTAATTATATCAGTTGCAGTAGTAATTTCACAAAGTTTTTGTAATGAGTCGAGGTGATTCAAATTTTTTTTTAAGTGATTAAAGTGATTAAAGTGATTAAAAAGTGATTAAAATTGATTAAATGATTAAAAAGTGATTAAAATTGATTAAAATTTGATTTCTGACTGATTTAAATCCGCTTTTTCCCCCTTGATAATACATGTTGAATTCGAATTCTGTAATTTGAATAATTCTTCTCTATTAATTCTATTTGAATATGTTCAATAACTAACGCACGATTAAATCGATCATCAAATGTACAATTTGTTGAACTACGACATGTTTTATTATATAATTTATGACCACTTTTAATTGAAAATTGATCAAGTATAGGTGATAGAACACGACCATGATAAGTATTAACTATAATAGATGATTGTTGTGACATAAGTGAAACATTGAATGGTTTATTCAATAAATTTTTAATATTGTAAATTGATTTTGATGTATGTTTGGCATAAAAAGTACTCATATGAGTTTTCGTGAATGGTTGACGAATACAAGAAACAATAAAGACAATAAAAAACAATCAAAAATACAATTAATTAACGAATAAATTATTTTGTTCGTTGTAATATTGGAAGAAAAAATAGTGTAGGAATAGCAACAATAATACAAGTAATTATATTTCCACGATGTATTATTCCATATCAAAGTCGTAGTGAAACAAATGGAATAAAAATATGAAGTATTCGATTGACTATTTCAATTATATGTATTAATGGAAAAAAGATATTAACATTGGTAAAAATAACCAATGAATTTTTTTTTAAAGAAATAACATTGTATATGTTTCCAATGGAGAGTAGATTCAATAATAATAATAATAAGATATAATGGGCAAATAAATATTGACCAAATAAGAGTTATATGAGACAATTGAGAATTAGAACAAATTGAAATAATCATTGATAAAGTATAAATGATGAGAACGGAAAAATTTTGTTCAAAATTAAAATGTATTTTCATTCAAATGTTTATGATTGTATTCATTTGAATTTTAAGAAGATTTTCGAAGAATAAAGCGACGCAGTAGATCGAGTAAATAATAAAAAATAATAGAACCAATCAAACATGGTAAACTAAAAAGAAATATGACTAATGTGAGATTACCATATCACGAAATAGGTTGAATTGTTGATATAATACATGCTAAAATCAATGAAAATACAAGACCAATAATCATAGACAGAATATTAGAAATAGAATATTTAATAATAGAAATAGTACGAATAGTCAATGGATATTTAAATTGAAAATAAATACAATGAGAATCATTACATGATAAATTTTCTTGTTGATGATATAAATGATCGAATATCATTTATCAAATTTGATAAAAGTTCAAGTAAAATAACAACACCGGGACCATCATCAGCAGTTCCAGGACCAAATTCCGCTATTAAAGCAGAAAAAAAAGAATTTCAATTAAATGATTAAATTTCTAAATATACGTACCTGAGTCGCAATAAGCAGTTAGCATTAGACTCCGTATATTTCGAGATCTATTAAGTGTATTTGATATACGAACAAAAATATTTTGTAATTGATTGTGCTGAAAATCAGTAAAATTTTGAAGATCAAGTTCACATTGAATATGTCTTTGATTCATTGAACAGATACGTTTTATTTATAAAATAAGATAATCAAGTGCATCCAAAATTTCCACGTGTATTACTTACTCATGATCCATACTGAATTCAATTAATTAAATAATCAAAAGCACGTTCTTTACTAAATACATGACGTGCAATTGCTCGTGTTTTTATTGCTAGTACTGAATAGGAGAGATGATGCGCAAATGGACCAAAAGCAAGTAAAAGATAAATTAATAAAACAAACCATAGAATAAATTCTTTGAGATGTTGATTGTTATTCATAATGTGTATGCTTTTTTTATATATATGTCAAATATTCAATTGTTTCTTTCGATGGTTGCACGTGGACGAAAAAATTTGTATTAAGATAATAAGTAATAAAAATGCTCGGAACAACAGTGAGAAAAAAA